CAGCCCACTCGCACTCGGGTGACTACACACGTCAGGCACAGCCCACTCGGACCCGGCCGACCCCACGCGTGTCAGGCACAGCCCACTAGGACTCGGGCGACCCCACGCGCGTCAGGCACAGCCCACTCGGGTCAGCCAACCTCACGTGCATCAGGCACAGCCCACTCAGACTCGGGCGACCCCACATGTGTCAGGCACAACTGTGCTCCAGAGAGTTTTCAGAGGCTGGGATTTTGGAAGTGGATTGCCAGGTCTTTCTTCCAAGGTGCCACTGGGTGGACCTGAACTTCCAACCTTCTGGGAAGCAGCTGAGAGGTTAACTGTGCACTCCACCCAGGGGCCCCAACAACGTGGGAGGCAGGAGATGGTCGCAAGCCAACCCTGCCCCCAGAACGTGATTCACCATCTGGAGCCCAGGCACCCAGCTGCCTCCTCCTTCCAAGACTGCGCACCCTCCGGTGGGCTGCCTCATGTGTGGGGCCTGCACTCTGCAGACAACCTGCGCGGACAGGGCTGAGTTCGGAAAGACACAGCGACGGGCACCGTAGGGAAGTCTTCCGTTCCGGATCTCACTTCCACCGAGCACACGGCCTGCCTCCTCTGCCCTGAGACTCGCCCCTTCGACCCGACCCGCCCACACATGTGAGCACACGTAGCGTGCACGCGCCGGTTACCTGGCTGGACACCTCATACTCCACGTGTTTCAGGAAGAGGCCTTTCTTCTCTGGGATGAGCTCCACGCTCACGGTGTCACGGGCCAGCAGCTCCTGCAGGCTGTGCGTCAGCAGCAGTGGGTTCCCCTGCGTCATCTGCATCCGAGTGGGCTCCGGGTCCGTCTGCTCGGTCCCCCAGGACGTAGGCACGTCTGAGGGTAGAAGGCGGGGGGCAGAACCAGCTGCTCAGAGCGCAGGCCCCGTGACAGCTCCCCCGTTAGGATGCACACACTTGGCTGTGGACTCCGTGTCCCCATGTGGCACGTTCCCGACAGCCCATGGGGATCACCGCCCTGCCAGGCCCCTGCTTGGGCATCAGCAAACACACCCACATCTCCGTGACCCAGGGGATTCTCGTCTTAAAGTTGGAGAAGGGACCAAAGTGAATATATACCAATTACGGGCAAAATGAGCCCTGTTCTCTCCAGCCAAGAGGAGCGGCTGGCGGGTAAGGAAGGGCCAGGTGACTGTTGTATGTGTCTAAACTCACATACAACTTGTATGCACCACAACCGTCAGCCTTTGTAAAAAGCCTACCTGCCCGTTTACAGCTGGGATTCCCGACCACCCTGATCAAAGATTTCAACCCTAAAACGTCGGCGTCCTCTGAGACGAGCGTCACCACGTTCCCACGCACACATCATCAGGAGATGGCACAGAGGGGCTTTACGCCAGGAGACCCGCAGAAACAAGGACATGAGGTGTTGAGGCCGCAGGCGTTCAGAGGGGTAGTGTCACCACGATCAAAGATGAATAAACAGAAAGTCAGGTCATGATGTCGGTTTGGGGTTAGGACAGAGATGACTAGAGGGAAAAATGAAGTGTTTTCAGTTAAAAAATAAGGTATCCCAAATGGGAAAAAGTCTTCCTCCAATTAACGGCGCCACAGCCAAGTGCAGCGAAGGCGATGCTGCCTTCACCTTTTCAGCATCGCCTACAATCTCAGGGTTGAACTTCTTCCACAGCCAATGCTTCAGGCCCTGGCTGAGCGCCTGTTCCACGCTCCAAGCCCCACAGATGATGGGAAGGCTTCACCCAGGAGGGGACCAGATGAACACGAATGTGCGTGGGGGTGTCATCCTTCTCTAACCTCAGCTAAAGAAAGAAAGGGAATGGGGCTTCTCGTTTACTTGGGGGGGCCTCAAAATGCCCCACGGGAATGAAACACCACCTGCCCGTACGTAGTGCTGAGGGTGGAAAGCAGCCTCCCCAGGGGCTCAGGGAGAAAGCACCCGAACTTCTGGGTTTCTTGTTCCCACTTTCCTTTGTCACCTGTATCCTCACGGCATTATTACATGGTACACAGCACAGTCAATGGAGGGGCACAGGCAGGTAACATGCTAAAATCAGGATTATATGGGGACGTGCATGTGCATATGAGTGTATGGCTGTGTGTGTAAGTGTGTATGCATACTAAGGGTACATGAGCATGTGCAAGTACATGTGTGTACACAAGTGTGTGCACAAGTATATAAGTGTGTACATGGGTGTATAGATGTATATAAAATGTGTACACTAATGGGTGAACATATATATATAAGTGTGTACATGAGTGCGTACATGTATAGATGTGGGTACACATGTGTACATGTGTTTGTACTATATGTATCACTGTATGTATGTGTATACAAGTGTTTGTCAGTGTAGGTGTGCATATAAATGTGAGCGTATATATGTATGAATATGTGTGAGTATACATGTGCATACACAAGTGTCTGCATGACTATGTACATGAGTGTGTGTATATAAAGGGATGTATGTATGTGTGTATATGTACATGTGCTTATCAGTGTATGTGTATGTATGTCTGAATGTGTGTACAAGAGTGTCTACATGAGGGTATGTGTAGTGTGTTTACGTATACGTCAGTATGTATGAGTACATGTGTGTATGTGTTTGAACGTGTGACTATATGAGTGTACATGTGTGTATGTGTGTGTGTGTGAGTAAATGTGTGTATACCTGAGTATGTGTGTGTTGGAGTGTATGAGGGCATGTCTGTGTGTATGTCAGGAGGCCTCGTTATTTTTTAAAGGCTAAAATGTGTGGAGACCGCTGTTTTCTTCTTCTTGGTTTCAGGGGAGCCTGGCCCCATGTCACGTGAAACTACTCCCACAGCCGCAGGACTGTGTCGACACAGACTCTAGGGAAGACACTGTCCTCAGCCAGGAACCAACACCAGTTAGGAAGCGTCTGCTCCAGAGAATCCAGCCATGAACAAGGCAGGGCCAGGAGCTCAATAACGTATCCATTCGGCACAGAGCTGCCGAGTGCCCACCACTGCCAGGGGCGATCCAGGGCAGTTAACACGTGAAAACATCTCCACTCCACGGAGAGCACGAGCCGCGCTGTAACTTAAATCCTACCCTGAGAACCAGAAAGTGTGCGTATGAGTGTGTGCACGTAACGTATGTGTGAGTGTGTATATGGGCACACAAGTGTGTGTAGGAGTGTGTGCATGTGTGGGTGTGTATGTTGTTACACACATGTGTGTACGAGTGTGTATGGGAGTACACAAGTGTTCTGGTACTACTGACAAGAATATACCACAAACAGGATGGCTTTAACAGACAAGAGTTTATTCTCTTATAATTCGGAGGCTTTAAGTTCAAGTTCAAAGTGCCGGGCTCTAGGGGATAGGTGAAAGCCTCTCAACCTTGGGGTCCAGCTCCGCCTCCTGCTCCCAGCCCACTGAAGCTAGAGGCGTTTCTTCACTCAGACAGCTGGTGGCTGCTGAGGCTGAGAAGCCCAAGGTTGACAAGTAAAAAGGTATGGTCCCGATGGTACCAGACCACACGGCAGGCCATTAATTCAAGTCCATTGTAAGTCCCAAGGTCGGCAGAGCATGGCAGGCTGAGCAACGACACAGCTATATGCAGGGTCCAAGCGTGCCATAGGCTAGAGACCATCCCCAAGGCTTCTGCTTATATACAGGAAGCAGACCACATCCCAGAGGCAGCTACTCAGCTGCTCCTAGTAGATCCCACCATGGAGCTGATTACCAGTCTCATCATGGGGAGTAACTACATCCAACTGCCTGGCCACTCAACCAGGCTTAGCTAAGATGACACACAGACTCAACTACCACAACAAGTGTGAGTGCGTGCATGTGTGTCTGAGTGTGCAGGATGACACACAAGTGTGCGTATGAGTGTGTGTATTTGGATGCATGGGTGTGTATGTGTGTACATGTGTGTGAGCATGAGTACACATATGTATGTGTGTGCATGTGTGTCTGCATGTATGTGGGGGTACACAAGTGTGTATGTGTGAATGTGTTGGGAGTGCATGGCTGTGTATATGAGTGTGTGCATGCATGTGTGTGTATGTGGGTGCATGAGTGAGTTTGCATGTATGTGTGTATGTGGTTACACAAGTGTGTATGAGTGTATGTGTGCATGTATATGAGTGTGTATGTGGGTACATGAGTGTGTGTGTGAGCATGTGTGTGTGCATGTAGGTACACAAGTGTGTATGGGTGTGAGTGTGTGCATATATGTATGAGTACATGTGTGTGTTTGAGTACATGTGTGTGTGAGTGCATGTATTTGTATGTGTGGATGTGTATGTGTGTGCATGATTGTGTATCTGTGTACAAGGAAACAAAGATTTGTCCACTAGAATGCCACAACGCAGGGGCAGGGACTGGCTCTTCTGTGCACTGAGGAACCCCAATCTGCCTGGCACACTGTAAGGGCTTACAGAGCATCTGTGAATGAGTATTTTCTGATTATCCATTCTGTTTTCAGGAAGGTAAACATATCATCTCTAGGGAAAGCAAAGGCCAATGTAACTGCAACAGAGACCATGCAACAAAACAGGAAGTGATCGAGATGAAAAAGTACCAGGGAAAGAGCAGGCTGCAGAGACCACACACTTGTAGCTCACAGGTCCGATGAGGGACTTGTACCCACGACACACAAAGAACACGTACAACACAATCAAAAAGTGATCAAGACAAAAGCCCAACTAAAGGTGTGGCCTCCAGGCAGGCGGCGGTGTGAACAGGTCCAGGGTCCCAGCCGCCCACACACATGGTCACCAAAGAAAGCAGCCAGAAATCCACTCTGAGAGCTCCGGAAGCGGGGACTGCACCAACTCACCACGTGCTCAAACAATAAAAAGGCGACTTTTAAACCACACCAAAACCAAACTCACTGCCCTCGAGTCAATCTGACTCATAGCAACCCCTCCTTGGGTTTCTGAGGCAGTATCACTATAGAAGTAGATTGCCCAACCTTCCTCCCAAGGAGTGGCCGGTGGGTTTGAACCACTGGCCTTCTGGTTAGCAGTCAAATGCCTCAAGCAAACTTTATTCTCTGCTGTCTCTGCTCCTCCCTCTCCCAGCTGGAGGACAGCAACTGCAAGGAGGCAGACCATGCTGCACATTCTCAGAGAAAAACCTGATCTCTGGCTCTGGAGGGGCAAGGCAGACACTGACGGTTCTGGTGGGTCCGGGAGCTGTCTGCAGAATGCACCTTCAACTGGCCTGATCCACACAGAGCAGGGGAGGGAGTGATGAGCAATGAGTGAAGGCTAGGACCACTCTTAACCTCCCAGGACTGGCGCAGACAATTAACTCCCAGCAGCTGAAGGAGAACCCAGAGTGTGGGCTTCTTGCAGAAAATGGTAATTCTGAAAGCACTATGTAAATGGGGGAGCAGAGAAAGCTGCACATGTTCAGAGTCAGGGCCCTGTAATAGTCCAATGTCCTGGTTGAAAGAAATAATAAATCACAAAGCATACAAAGAACTGGAAAGACAGCCCATTCAGAAGTGCAAGACAAAGGGGAAGAAGTCATCTCTATGGAAGCCCAGATAACAGACACCCTAGAAAACTAAACATTATTAAACATGCTTAAAGAACTAAAGGAAAACACAGAAGAAGAATCAAAGGAAATCAGAAAAACACAACAAGGATATTAAGGAAAACAAACAAAATCACCAGAGCTGAAAAATACAATAACTGAAATGAAAAATTCAGTGGAGGGGCTCAACAGCAGATCTGAGCCAGCGGAGAAAAGAATCAGCAACTAGAAGACAAGAAAACCAAAATGACAGCATCTGAAAAGGAAAAAAGAGACAGAAGAAAAGCGAGCAAAGCCTAATGGAAATGTGAGACACCATCAAGTGAACTAACATCAGCATCATGG